TGCTGTATAATGAAGTGTAACAAACAAGAGTGTGCAACGCTGCCCTAATGGCTGGCAAAGGATTTCACGTTTTTAATGCTGCCTGCGCAGCATGCCTAACAAATGAAATATTTTTATTTTCAGGCATTTACCTCATGATACTTGTTTTCGATTTTAAGAATTTGTGATTAAAAATGTAATGTTGCCTGATTATCGCTCGCTTTTATAAAAGACAAAATAATTTTTAAATAATTATTGATTTGTAAACTCGTAAACATGTAAAACAATATTCTATATACTTTCGTATGCTTTCAACGAAACACGCAAATGCGTATAGTGATGTCTCAATATCTTGGATTGCGTAAATCCGAGTGCCTTGTGAGGGACAAATTTCCTGTACGTGACTCTTTTATATCAACTAACAGTAGAGACAAAGTGTAAGTGACATCTCGTGTCCTTTTCCATTCTATAAAAGAATTTGTCCTCTTGATAAAATACATTCGAAGGATTGACACCTGTTTGGAATATATATCGGGGGTTTATTTTTACACTCATCTTGTAAATCCTTCGGGGTAAGAAAAAATTTTGTTGCTATGTCTGACCAAAATCTATATCTTCATCTTTATATACATATATTATTCTTCTGTACGTGTGTTTGTCACTGAAGTCCTCCTAAACGGTTGCACCGATTTTTATGAAAATTATTGTGTGTGTTTGAGAGAATCCCTATTTTCGCTATTGAAACCCGGTAGGTGGCGCTGTTATCAAGATCTAAAAATCACCGGTGGATCGCTAGTATTGTATGAAACAAATATTACTTAGTTCGTTTCATATGCGTTCCTATGACATTGATCCAATCACTATGATACTTTTGTGAATTGTAGAGTGCGTGTCCGGTAAGTATTTTGGACAAATATAGTAATTGTTTGTTTGTTTCCCATACGGTTCTATACCATTCGTAACGTTAATGAGTTATCGGGCACACCCTCTTGAATGTTTCTGACAAACAGATATAACATTTGATACAAAGTTGCAATTAGTTATGTACAAATAGAAATAGAAATGTAAATAAATGAAACAATAATGAACACCGTGTAACAATAGATATACATTTATTAATAGAAACTGTGCCGTGTATGGGCGAATTATGAGAATCTATTACCCTATATTATCCCGTGGATATAATAAGAGGCGACAAATCACAACTGATGAAAATAAAAATAAAACTGTGATTGCTAACCCGTTTTCCAAGCGTGATAACAATAGCGAAATCCTCCCTATCCGTGAAGCAGGCATTTCAGTTGCAGCGCAAATGGGTCCGCTCTACCGGGGTCGGACCATGCTCTCATAGAATTCCAGCTTAAAATAGCAGCTTAATGGTTAGTGGTTCGTATGGTGAGTGTAGAGAACCGGACACCCTTTTTACTGGAAACTATACATTCCATTTTAGTCTTCAGGTGTAAGAACGTATTTGCATTTACATTTTTAATCGAGAATTAATGTAGATATCTATGGGCCACGGCATCAACTTACCATCAAACGGACTAAGTGGTTGTTTGTCACCCTTATTCTATTATATAATAAGTCGGGGAAAAGTTTCTTCGTATTTTGTTTGTATAAAATTGAAGAAAAATCTCTTTGGTTGTACTGATTGTATCTGGCTGGTTTTAATATCAATACATGTAGGACGTTAAGAAAAGGTAAAAAAAAAACTTTGCTGCAATTTTTAATTGTTTTACTGTCCGCCAAAATGAGTAAATTTACCGAAAAAAATCGACACATTCTGAAGTTTTATTACCAAAAAGAGAAAAAGCGTCAAGCCGCAAAAAAATTGTGACGTTTATGGACCTAATGCAATGTATGTAAGAGTAGCGCAAGTTGATTCAAGCGTTTTCAGTCCAAGAATTTTGATGTCAAAGATGCAGCTCGCTCTTGTCGCCCTTACACGGATAAAGTCGATGCCATTTTTTATAAAGTGGAGCAAGATCAGCATATTAGTAGTTAAGACATATCCGAGGAATCGAGGATTGATCACAAAACAGATTTGACCTATTCTAAAAAGTCTAGCTATACAAAAAACTCGACATTTGGGCATTTGGACAATGAGACTCAAGCAAGAAATTGAGAAAAAACGGCAATTGATCAATTCCGGCGGCATTGAATGACTGCAGATGTTCTTGTATAGGTTGACCTAAGAAATGCTTTTGACTGTATATATAGGGTACCCTGCTGAAAGAAGTGACTAAAAATACCTCTGAAGTTTTAACATAACGATGTTTTTTAGGATAAGCAATATAATATTATCGATTATGCTGTCGTTGTTCAGCACGATGACTCACTATGTCCAGCTTTTGTCAGTAAATTCTTTAAGTATTCCAAAATTCAACCAATTCAATGTTTCAACTATTTCAAATTTGAAATCCTGAATGTTTGGTACCTGGATAATGGTACGCTGGGAGGTAGAGCAGATGACATCCGTATTTTACAAATTTTAAAAAATGTTATGTTAGTCTTTAACCAAAATTTGACAATAATTGTGAAATGTTATATTATATTATTCCAATAATTTAGTTTAGTCTAATATCGTATTACTTACTTATCTTCACGCACAATCCCTGACGGGGTAGCCAGAGAGAACAGATCGCCAAGTGTCACGATCCTTACATACCTTTTTCGCTTCTTTCAGATTCATTATCTTCTTCATACATGCACGTCTAGGTATCCGAGTAATCTTGACCCTCCCCTCTTCGAGCAATTTGCTCACATGGTCTTCGAAAGTTAGTCTCGGTCTACCTCGACACCTTTTAATATTAACTTTCGCGCTATATATTTTCTTCACCATTCGGTCTTCACTCATTCGCTCAACGTGCCCAAACCATCGAAGCACGCCTTTATCAATTTTTGTGATAAGGTCATCTTTCAAACCTGCCATATTGCGAATCTCTTCGTTTCGCTTTCGGTCGGCCATGGTAACGCCATACATTTTACGAAGACATCGCATCTCCACTGCATTCAACTTGCTTTTATACTTCTTCTGGCATACCCAGGTTTCGCTGCCATATAACAAAGTCGGTAAACTGCGTTATGTATTGCAAGGCGTGCACTCTTCACTACTCCTTGCCTTTTGACTAACGCAGTCAGGGCACCATTGACTTTATTGCCAGCAGCGACACGCCTGTCCACATCTAAATCACATCTTCCATCCCGGGTAAAAGCACTCCCCAAGTATACAATTTCATTTACCTGTTCTAGACATTCCTGATTTACCCATATTTCACACTTCGTTCTCTCTTCGTCCCTTTCAAATACCAGAACCTTAGTTTTATTAGCATTCAAACGGAGACCTTTAATTTCACATTCCTCTTTCATACACGTGACTAATGCCTGCAGTTCTGCCTCTGATGGTGTAATAAGCACTGTGTCATCAGCAGCATTATACATTATAATATAATGTGAATTAATTTGGTATTAATTCACATTATATTATAATACCGCAAGCTTAGGTTTACGTTATCATCCGAGTGACGCACTATTTATAAATGAAACTAGGCTATCAAGTACAAATAAAATTACAAACAAGAGTGGTGTGGGTACTTAAATTACAATACAAGTACTGGTGGTCCGTGACCTTAGTCCGTGATTGTACATGATGGCGATGATGACCATGACGATAACTTTGACGTAAACGATGACAATAACGATGACGACGACGATGCCGATGTCGATGACGATAACGATGACGATGACGTTAACAATGACGATGACGATGACGATTACAATGACGATGTTCACAATAATGATGATGATGACGATGGCGATGTAGATGACGATGACGATGACTATGACGATGAAGATAACGATGACGATGACGATGACGATAACGATGACGATGGCAATGACAAAGACGATGATGGTGATGATATTGTTGACGATGACAATGACAATAAAGATGATGATGATGATGATGACGACGACGACGATTACTTTGAACATGAAAATACGATGTAAATAATGATGAAAATTGATGACAACAACAGGAAAGGAGTGATCGTTCAGCATGATAACGCCAGACCACACACATTTTAGTTATTTTGGTTTTCTTTTGATTTCGGGGATTTTACGTTTGACGTAATTGAGATGGCATACAACCAGTGACTTTATTTATATTATAATAAAGTCCATTATTAACAGAAACTAGATGTTTGCATAAGACAAGATTTTAGCGCTCGAGTGTGTGTGCAAGGACAGATGCACTCTCTATTCTCTCACTGTCATAGTCCGACACGACCGAAGAGAGTTTACGCACAGGACCAACGGTTGTACATGCTTTTCGAGGCATAAGAGTAAAACACCGTCGACTTGCTGACTCCACCAGGTTGCTACTGAGAAATCTATTAACTGATTTCTGATTCGACCTAGGATCAAACATAGGATCGCAATAGCAGCCGCGCTACGTTCCACGAGGCAGTCAAAGAAGTTCACGAGATTGTATACCTATAAGCTTTTTATATAAAATATTATGTTAGTAGAGATTCAAAAGTACCTTGCTTGTTAATAGTAATAATAGTTTGTATGTGTTTGTGTTAAAAGTAATAATAGTTGTAATAATAATTGTAATAAAAGTTTTTGTGCTCGAGAAGTATCCATTTTTGGATATCACATCTCGGTATCAGGCACCAAATCACTAGACAGTAAAGTTGAAGCCATAAAAAACTTTCCATTGACCACCAATATTCGTCAACTTCGACGATTTCATGGTATGGTAAATTTTTATAGGCGATTTTTACCACGTGCTGTAGAAATAAAAGCACCACTTAACGCCTTGTTAACAGGCGTAAAAAAAAATAACCAGCCTATTACATTATCTGGTGAGTCTTTAAATACATTTTAAACATGCAAAAAAAAAGGCTTTCTGAGACTGCGTTATTAGCGCATCCAGATTGCTAAGCAAGTTTGGCTTTAGTCACTGATGCTTCGGATAAAGAAATTGAACCTGTTCTACAGCAGTTAAAAGATGACGCATGGCAACTCCTACCATTTTTATCACGAAAGCTGAGCACTTCTCAGACAAAATATTCCCCCTGCGACTGGAGCTCCTAGCAATTTATGAGGCTATTAAATATATTCGCCACATGTTAGAAGCAAGGCATTTCACAGTATATACTGACCACAAGCCAATCAGTTTCGCATTTCATGCAAGGAAATCCAACTGTTTGCCTAGGCAGTATATGCACTTAGATTATATAGCCCAGTTTACTACTGATATTAGACATGTTTCCGGTAAGGACAACGTTGTTGCCGATACACTTTCGCGTGTAGAGGCATTGGAGTCGCCAATTGACTTAGAAGCATTAGCTAAAAGCCAAGCTTCTGACCCTGAGCTTGAAAATCTCATAAAATAAGGCTCTTCACTACGTCTAGACAAACTTACTATACCCGGGAGTAGTCGAACCCCATTGTACTGCGACGTCAGTACACCGAATTATTCCTAAAACAAGTTGTAAATACTTTATATTCGCTTAGTCGTCCAGGCGTCAACGCAACCACCAAGTTAGTGGCAGAACATTTCGTGTGGCCGAAAGTTTAAAAAGACTGTCGGGAATGGTAAAAAACGTGTTTACCATGCCAACGTTCGAAAATATTTCGGCATGTTAGCTCACCTATAGGGGCTATTAAAATACCGCGTGCAAGATTTAAACAAATTCATATCGATCTGCAACGGCTATTGCCTTTGTTACGCGCGTTGACCTCTTCACAAGGTGACCCGAAGCAGTTCAAATTGCTGATATAACAGCAGAAACGGTTGCGAAGGCTTTGTTATCTTGTTAGATAGCTCGGCTTGGCTGCCCCACACACATTATAACTGACCGCGGTAAGCAATTCGAGTCAGCTCTTTTCCAACAACTCGCCAAAATAGCCGGATTCCGTCACAAACGCACAATGACTCCGGCAAGTAATGTACTGGTGGAACAATTTCATAGGCAGCTCGTCCATAATGTGTCATACACGAGAAAAATGGACCGAAATACTGCCTGGGTATTGTTAGGGATACACAGTTAATTCAAAGAGGACTTACAAGCATCTTCTGATGAATTATTGTATGGTAAACCTTTAAGTTTGCCCGGAAAACTTTTTGAGCCCACTGGGCTTAGCATTACAACAGACATTACCGAATTTGCATACCGCATACGCACGTTTGCTCAAAAATTACGTCCCTGGATGGGTGACTTGCAACTCATACATAATATATAACACAAACATACCTTCATACACACACACACATGCAGTTAACAAACTACATTTTACACCACTAACACAACACCATACTTACCAGTTGGCCGACGCTTATAGGTACGATCCCGGTGGTATCATCGATACATTACCATATTATAAGGTAATCTCGTGTAGGAGCGGATACAAGCAGGCGGCGTGAGCACGCTGCCTCCTTGAACGTTGATCAGTCGGTTACGTAATACAACGGAAAGAGATTGTCGCTTTAGCTTACAGACGCTTGTTATTTAAATATTTATGTGTACTAAATTCTGTTACCTATTTCCTCTTAAGCTTCTCTCCACTTTTCTCTATATCTATGAGCTCGATTCTTGTTGTAAGTGTTGCATTCTCCTTCTGACGATATAGTTATTGGTGTGACTTTATATTTCTGGACAATAAATGTATTGGTGTAAAAAGTGCAGAACTATTATTTATCTGTAAGCCCGCTATTGTACACACAAGAACAGACTCCACACCCGTTACAAACTTACTTGTCAGGAATGATCTCAAGGTTCGAGAGGGCGCTGAGCTTACATTTGCCAGCATACTTATGTTTAGACTAAAATTTGGTATACTATTCTCAATAAATGATAGAGTAAGTGCCGCAATTATTTTACTTGTTGCTTTGTCTTTATTTTCGGTACAAATCAATTAAGTAAATTTCAAAAATATCACTGAATTATTTAGTACCTTTCGCCTTTTGTTAACTAACTAGACGTGATTCAAAGATTTAAGCTACTCAAGCTCTCTTCTCTATCTCTAATTTATTAAGGTGTTTTGCCAAGGTTGTCCAAGACAACTTCTGTCAGACATCTTTTCCATCTCTGCACAGGGAGAACGACTCACTGGCCCATGCCGCAAAGGAGAAAGTTAATCTTTTAAGTTCTCATTTTGAGTATATTAATTTAACCCGTCCTACAACAGACTTATCACAATCGCCTTATTGTTCTCCAAAATAATTGCATTCATTATAAACTGCCAAGTCATAAGGTACCTTGAGGACCACCAGCTGTGTGAGTGGCTGCCAATACGGTCAATAATTACCTGGTTCTAATCTTTCTAATTTACCTAACTCATATATGAGCGGATGCAGTAGAGTCCAAGAAGATGGAGGACCTTCAATGGGCTTTGGTACAAAGTGCTTCTTTAGAAGCTTCCTTCCTATAGGCTTCCTGAGAAATTATACAATTGGATCATTAGTTTTATTGCACATCGAAACGCCAAAATCATATTAGACTGTGTATACACCGAATACAAGCTTATTGTGTGTTCCACAAGGATGCCTGCTATCACCTACGCTGTTTCTCCTGTATATCAATTATATGTTGTTGTTAGTGGTTGTAATACACCGGCCGTGCTAATATTCCTCGGGAACACGTCATCGAGTATCGGAACAAACTTGTGTTAGAAAGTTGAGTCTTCGATAAACAAAATCTCGTATTGGGGACGATTCTAGTCCAGTTTAAACTTCAAAAGACACATGTTTGCGTGGTTACAGCTAAAAAGAATTCCTTTGTCGTATCTCCTCAATTTTAGGGCACTTCTTATGCTATCTCAGCCAGCATCAGAAGCCTTGGCATCGATATATCGAATAATATATTTATGAAAATGTCGCAAATCGCAATATATTTATGAAAATGTAATGTATGTACATAAAAACATAAATAGCTTTAATAAGAATAAGGATGTTCATACCTTAAACACTAGGAACAAACATAAGCTTGTAATGCCACTTACAAGACTCCACAGAATTAGTAATTCATTTATGGGGCAATGTATACGCTTTTACAACAGAATCCCAGAACATGTGCAATGTTTGTCAATAAACAAGTTTAAAAGTTTTATTAAAGAAAAACTGTACAAAAAGGGTTATTATAATATCAAGGAATACATGAGTGAAAATAACCCCTGGGAATAAGGTGATCGCCACCATGCTGGTTCTATGAAAATTCATTTAAAATTGTATAATCAAAATTATTGTTAAGTGAAATTATGTTTAAAAAAAAAGTCCCGCTGGGTTTCTTGCTGGTTCTTCCCAGGACAGAGGTATGTTCCGAACCAGTGGTAAATAAAATAATGACTTTCAATAAGTATTATGTAATAATCCATATTGAATAAAAATCATTCTATTCTATTCTATTCGTATAGTTCCGTGGTCGCTTGGAAGGAAAGACTAAATTGGCCTCTAAGAAGCTTTGCTTGGTTACTAGAGCGGGACAGTATATCATGCAAGCACAACTTTACAAGGCGCAAGTTTGGCCTCACATGGAGTACCTACTGTTTTCATCTCTGGACCGGGGCGCACCCCAGTGCCAGCTCCTTCCACTTGACCGCATCCAGCAAAGAGTGGCTGAAATCGTCGATGACCGAGCTATTTCTGATCGACTCAATTCACTGGCGCTGTGAAGAGATCTTGCATTCCGTTTTCTATCGCATTTTCTACGGAGAGTACTTAGAAACAGTTAGGAATTCCAGCCGTTAAATTAAATGCACCATCCACACTATCTGGATGCTTGGCGGTACAACATAACTATGCAATTTACTAGAAGTTTTCTTCCTCTTTCTTTTCTTCTTTGTGGAATCATCTACCACCGGTGATTTTTTCCGGGCCGATACGACTAAGAGACTTTGAAAAAACAAGCTTATTCCTTTTAAAAAGGCTAGTAACGCACCTACAATTTCCCTAGTGTAGGAGTTTTTCGTGGGTGATGGTCAACATTTACTATCAGGAAAATTTGATTTGATGTGGGCGAAACCGCGAGGTGGAAAGCTAGTAAAATATAAAAATCTAGTAAATAATTCGTGGGCTGTCCAGGCACAGATAGAAAAGGCTGGTGGTGGGCGCATATTCCTAGTTTGCCTAGGGCTGTCGGGACTCTAAATCAGGTTCTATAAACATCCACTTCATGGTCCTGAGCAAACACATCCAACCAATTACCGGAGACAAATTTCCCGTACGTGATGATTTTATTTTATTTAGTGGATTCAAGGAGCGTGTGGAGTAATTTTAGCTCGTCAAATAGAGCTTATTTGAGTATCTGAAAACGATTAAGTTCTTCTTTAATAATATGTCAAGAAATAACAGTTTAATGCTGCTGTTTTAAGTATGGTGAGTGTAGCAAACCAGAGATATTTTACTGGAAACAATGCATATACATTGTGATTCTTATTCGAGGTTAGATGTCGATGTCTATGGGCCACAGAATACAATCATCAGGTGGACTGTATCCTCTTTTGTGAGCCTTATTTTATAAGAAAAAATTCATGTTTAACGTGTATCTCTTCAGACGTAAAATAACTGTTAATTTTATGGACTGATTAAAAAGAAGAAAGCAATAATATAAGATAACAATATAAGAGATGTATTATGGTATGATTGCGGCACGAATAACTTGAATCCACTCAGGGAGTATTAGAATTCTGATGTTAAATAACATCATAATAATGGTGTGTTTTGTATAGCGAGGAAAGGGAAACGGAGGCTTTAAACTGGTAACTAGGCATCATATTCCCTAGGGGTAAAAATGTTTCAAAAAATGCTCTTTATCGCAACTACTAAATTTGCCACGTGCTCGGCGGCGAAACTTTATTTGTTTTAGTTTTTTGGTATCTAATATGAATGACACCCTTTAACTGTCTCATGCATCCTATCTTTAAAAGCTTAAAAGTTTTCGTTGGATAACAAAGTAAATATTGTTGGAGTTGAATAAAAGTACTGTCAGATTTTGTGCATATTATGTTTCGAGGTATTATGAATGTCATGTTTAATAAAACTATTTCTTAAGGATTTTATCGCGTTTAATTTACTATTTTAATTCCCGACGTTTCAGGTGCTTTACAGCAACCCATGGTCACGGGGGGGGGGGACTGAGATGTTTGACGTCCCGATGTCACAGATAGCCCGGCTACCTTCAGTTTTTAATATTAATTTTTGGTTCGATTTACGCAGAATGAACTTACAGTATCTTGAATTCTAGCAGTGGTATGCTTGGGTTTGGATTTGATTTTGTTAATTATAGGATCCCAAACAGATGGCAGCACCCATCCATCTTCTCTATTGAAATTAGGATGTTTTTTAATTTCAATAGACTTGCGTTTCATCCTTGGTAGGAATCGGTGTTCTTTTGCG